AGTTTTCTTACTTGAAAATCTTTCTTGGATTTCACCTTTTAATCCCTGAATAATCTCAACCAGCAGATCAACAGTATGGCCTGATCAATGGGGCTTTCCTGAAAAAGGCTTTACATGTACTGCCTGGCTGGAAACTGCTTTGCTACCATTTGTTCTTCTTTGGGGTCAGGCTGTTATTAACAGTCTAATGCCTGCAGACATTGCTGGAAGTCAGAGTGGCTTTTAATGATCAGTCCCCCTGATTGCCCAGTGAAATCATTGTATCAAAGAAGTGCAACAAATACATGTCTTTTTTTTTTTTTTTTAATAGGAAATTTCAGAGGGAGACAAACAAATGAATGTACATCATTGTTTCATAGCGTGGAATATAAAAATGATTAGTGTGTAATTGTAAACTTTAAGTCCAACTCCAAGATGGGGGAAAAAAATCTTGTAGTGGGCCCCCTGCACTACAAGGGTTAAATGCTTATTATCTTTAGGGGGTAGAGAAAGAGGCTGTATTACTTATTTTATCTAACTTCAGTGCTTTCCTTTACTCTGACACTTTGGGCTGTGGGTGGCCCCATCATATACACTGTGGGCAGTTGTGTATTTTCTTGTTGTGCTGCTCTAGGCAACCCAATAATCAGCCCCCCCACCAAATAAAAAAAGAGAGGGGGGGCGTGAGAGAGAGGGGGTGGGAGAAGAAGAGAGAGGGGGAAGGAGAGAGAGAGAGGGAAGGAGGGGGGAGAGTGAAAGGAAGGGAGGGAGAGAGTGGGAGGGAGAGATAAAGGGAGGGAGAGAGAAAGGGAGGGAGGGAGAGGAGAGTGGGGGGAGAGAGAAGGGAGAGTGAGAGGGAAGGAGGGGGAGAGAGAGAGAGTGAGATGGAGTGAGGGAGAGGAGAGAGAGAAGGCGGAGAAAGAGAGAGAAGGAGAGCCCAGGTTACAAAATGTGAAAGGCATGTCCATCCTTCAACCTACTGACAGAACACGAAGCTGCCACACACATCTTACCTTTAGGAAGTACTGATGCCCCAGACCCCTGTAACATTATAAGGCAGACTATTTATCACTTTCAGGTGCACGCGGAGTAATATCATGTACCGCATTTCACATCAGCTAAGTCACTGCCTCTTCTATATCATCCAGTTGTGCGGGCCGGGACTTTATTTTAATTATCGGGGAATGTAGTGTAGGACATTAATCTGCCTGCAGCTAGAAGCGAATAAAAAGTCCGCTTGGCTGAGGAAAGTTCTTTTTTATTGCTACCAAGTACCTAGGGTCCCCTCTCTGCTTCCATTCCCCCACTGCTGATTTTGCCAGTGAGTACTGGAGAACCTGGATAGGAGCAGGAAGACTTTGCACCGCACAGCATCTGAAACAGCCTGGGGAGGCGCCGCCCCCTCAAAAAATGCCGCCCTAGGCAAATGCCTACTTTGCCCTGTGGTAAATACGCCCCCGACTGTGGGACTGTTAGTCCTGCATTGTATGTGAGGAGGCAACCGTGCGACTACAGGCCTTAGAGTGGTTGTAAACCTCTGACATGAAATGTGAAAAAAACATATACCTTTATAGTGTGTGCTTGTTTCAATCCAGAGTACTAAATGTAATTTCTGTGCGTTGCCTTTTTCTTCTGCTATAAGCATAAATCACTTCTGTTTAGTTTTCCAGACACCAAGAGAAGAATAGTGACAGGGCAGGGCACAGCCTGTGATTGACAGCCTCTGCTCTCTTCCTGTGTGCTGTGTGAAGGGGGGGGGGGGTGTCCTTTCCCTCCAATTAGCTCTCAGAGCTCTCCTCACTGATGTAACTTAAGCTTCCCACCCCCTGCTGTTCAAAGCCGAGAGATTCTGTGTAAATTCTGAACTTTGACTGGATGTAGGGGACAAACTACTTTAGATAAACAAGTACAACTTTTTGAAAATCTCCTGTGTAAAACCTGAGGCCAGTCATTTCATTGGGTATATGGAAGGGTTTACAACCACTTTAAAGAAAGAGGCTTTGGGGGTTGAATAACTTGGTGGCATCATGTTAAAAGGAGTCATGAGTATTCCTTTACCTGTAGACTTAACAAGCATTTAATCCTTGCATTGTGTAGGGGACCCAGGAGTTGGTCTTTAAAGCTTAAACCTGAGCTTTAATGCGCACTGCACATGTGTAATTCAGCTCTAACAGCTAATTGACACAGTAGTTGTCCAGCGGTTCATGTCAAGTTTACATCAGGTTCAGGACAGGATTAGGTCAGGATTTTATCCTGTTTACACATGTGCGGTTTAGTCCCAAGTCACACTGGTGCGAATTGTCATGCAATTTGATCGTTCCAAATCACATGACAATTCGCACCCTGTTGTCCGCAATGGAAGTGGTCATATCAGTGCAATTCCAACTCCATCGGAGTCGCATCAATTTGGACAGTACTACATGCACTACATACACGTACTACATACACGTACTACATGCACTAGGTGCGACTTGCATAGACATCTGTGCATGAAGTTGCACAGATGTCTTCCAGGTTGCACCTAAAGTCAGACTGACACCCAACTTTGAAATAGTGCAAATTCAAGTGAAGTCGCAAGATTTCAAAGTCTGATTTGGTGTTACCAAAGTTTCAGAAACAGTTCCCATAGAAGTCAATAGCCTGTAATCCACACCTGAACCAGATGGGACTGCACAGAAATCGTACATGACACTTTCGAACTGCACTGAATCCACACTGCCAGTGCACCGTACATATGTGAACATGCACCAGGACAGGAAGCAATGTTATTTCACATGTCATGCAGATTGGATGCGGTTCAAACCTCATCCATTCTGCATATATGTGAACCGGCACTTAGTGTACTTGGCTAGTCAGGAGATTATATTGAGAGTGGTATTAGGGCAGCAAAAGTAACTGTAAACTTTTGTAGGAGAATCTAAAAAAATGTTTTTAAATGTATATTATTCTTTTTTTGGAAATGTAAACAAAAATTAAAATGGTATGCTTCAGTATACTACAAAAAAGAGTCAAATATGCTCCCATAGACAAAATATTACAAAGTTATTAGCAATTTAACCTACACACTGCATAGTGGCAAATTGTATTCTTCCTAAAAGTAGTCATGAAGATAAATAGCTTTTCACTGTACACATTACAGAATGCCTTTTTCTTTGCGGTTTCCATAGACATTCTTGCTGACTGCTAGCTTGACTGTGAGCAGTCCTGAATTTGGCTTTAGTTTGCCCATGTCTGTCATGGACAGAAGAAGTTTGGAAAATAGCAGGGCAGGGAGATCTCTCTTTACAAAAAGCGAAGATCTGATATTCTGCATCGGGCTCCACCTAGAGCTAAAATACACTTTTGTATTAACTTTCTCTTTATATATAAATATGAACGAAAAAGTATTCATACCCCTTCAAATTTTCCCCATTTTGTCATGTTACAACCAAAAACGTAAATGTATTTTATTGGGATTTTATGTGGTAGACCAACACAAAGTGGCATGTAATTGTGAAGTGGAAGGAAAATGATAAATGGTTTTCAAATGTTTTAAAAAAATATCTGAAAAGTGTGGCGTGCATTTGTATTCAGCCCCCTTTACTCTGATACCCCTAACTAAAATCTAGTGGACCCAATTGCCTTCAGAAGTCACCTAATTGGTAAATAGATTCCACCTGTGTGTAATTTAATCTCAGTATAAATACAGCTGTTCCATGAAGCCCTCGGAGGTTTGTTAGAGAACATTAGTGAACAAACAACATCATGAAGGCCAAGGAAAACACCAGACAGGTCAGGGATAAAGTTGTGGAGAAGTTTAAAGCAGGGTTAGGTTATAAAAAACTCCAATGCTTTGAACATCTCACGGAGCACTGTTCAATCCATCATCCGAAAAAATAAAGAGTATGGCACAACTGCAAACCTATCAAGACATGGCCGTCCACCTAAACTGATAGGCCAGGCAAGGAGAGCATTAATCAGAGAAGAAGGCAAGAGTCCCATGGTAACTCTGCCGGAGCTGCAGAGATCCACAGCTCAGGTGGGAGAATCTGTCCACCGGACAACTAATAATTTTGCACTCCACAAATCTGGCCTTCATGGAAGAGTGGAAAGAAGAAAGCCATTGTTGAAAGAAAGCTATAAGAAATCTCGTTTGCAAGACACCTTGTGGAGGACACAGCAAACATGTGGAAGAAGGTGCTCTGGTCAGATGTGACCAAAATTGAACTTTTTGGCGGGAAAACAAACACTGCACATCACCTGGAACACACCATCCCCACTGTGAAACATGGTGGTGGCAGCATCATGTTGTGGGGATGCTTTTCTTCAGCAGGAACAGGGAAGCTGGTCAAAGTTGATGGTAAGATGGATGGAGCCAAAAACAGATCAATCTTAGAAGAAACCCTGTTAGAGTCTGCAAAAGACTTGACACTGGAGCAGAGGTTCACTTTCCAGAAGGACAATGACCCTTAACATACAGCCAGAGCTACAATGGAATGGTTTAGATCAAAGCATATTCATGTATTGGGATGGCCCAGTCAAAGTCCAGACCTAAATCCAATTGAGAATCTGTGACAAGGCTTGAAAATTGCTGTTCACTGATGCTCTCCATCCAATCTGACAGAACTTGAGCTATTTTGCGAAGAAGAATGGGTAAAAATTACACTCTAGATGTGCAAAGCTTATAGAAACATACCCAAAAAGACTTGCAGCTGTAATTGCAGCAAAAGGTGGTTCTACCAAGTATTGACTCAGGGGGGCTGAATACAAATGCACGCCACACTTTTCACATTTATCATTTTCCTTCCACTTCACAATTATGTGCCACTTTGTGTTGGTCCAACAATTAAATCAAAAACTCTATAACTCCCCAAAGAAAAGTGTTGTTGGTCTATCACATAAAATCCCAATAAAATACATTTACGTTTTTGGTTGTAACATGACAAAATGTGGAAAATTTCAAGGGATATGAATACTTTTTCAAGGCACTGTATTTGTATACACGCATTTTAAAAAATAAAATAATTTATTTTTATTTGCAGGCTGCAAGTTTATCATGGAGGAATAAAGAAAACCAAGACACAGGCTTTAAATTTTTGTTTAATCTGTTTAGAAAGTATTATCTTCATCATTTGTTTCCTTCATTTACAAAGTTAACCAACCTTTATAAGCCTGTACTTGGTGAGTATCAGTGCTACATATATCAGCTGGCTCACATACATGTAACAGTTTATTTCTTTTCATGTATATGTTGCAAATGTAGATACTTGCCTAAATTATTTAATCTTGTCTGCTTGTTTTTTGGGACCTTAGTGTAGTGCTAAGAAAGCTGTTAAAAGAACAAACCTGTAAGCCATGTTACAAGTTTAAAACTTCCTGTTAAGAATTGTCTGTAACCTTTATTGCTTAGAACTCCCTATTCTATTGCATTCAGTCTTTTAGGTTATGCCCTGCACAGTTGCCACCCTATCCAATGAGCACTTTAATTGGACAGGGTGCAGATATGTGGATGGGCCTAGCTCAGAAGTTATGCCCCTTGTAACAAACAAAAAAAAAAACAGAGGCATGGAGTGGAGGGTTTTATGGCTAATAAAGGTAGTTGCAAGCAATCTGTGATACCTACTCTTTGGTGGACTTAAGAGTTAAAAATTGCTGACAAGTGCACTTTAAGGCTTCATGTGAGTGGATGCTATTTTTATGTTATTGTACCCATTTACAGGCAGTTTAGGCCAGCTGACACTGAACCTTAGCTGTGTCAGATGCTTTGGATGATATTTGCCAGACTTTTTGCGTCACCATTCTGCTTCGTTATATAAAGTCACATTTTTTTTTTCCTCATATTTCCCTTTTTCTTTCTAATTAAAATATATGTGAAACAAACTTTTCCTTTTTTATTTTTTTATTTTTCGTTTTGGATAGAGTGGTGCTTTTTTTCTGTTCATGTCCCATCAAGGTAGCTCCACTTAGACAGTTGTCATCAGAACACCTTGACTCATTGGATGATTTTCTCTCCTCTCCTCTTACTGTGACAATTCAAACAGCCCAATCTTTGTATTGCAATTTTATCCACTTGTTACTATGAATTAGCGTGTGATAGACATCACCATTGCTTTTTGTATTTTCTTTAAAAAGACATACTTTATAGCCTGCTACATAAAGGCTAGTTCAATCTACTTTGGCTGTTTTTTATCAGTGTAAAGACAAAGATATGGAAATTTTTAGGGACTTGGTAGAAACCTGTTCACATACAGAGCATGGGACAAGGATGCCCATTGTTTGGTGATTTTGTGGCAGAGTTGCTGATAAAATGAAAATAACAAAAAGTTTCTGTGTGTATTTTAGATATTCCAGATGTAAGACCAAAGCCGGTGTATGTCACCTCAACCCGTAACAACGAAAACCACTATAGCACAAAAGTACCACACATGGCAGCTAGAGTTGTGTTTATTAAGTGGCTTGTCACTTTCTTTTTGGAAAAGAAATATGTAGCATCTACTCAAAGCACTAAAAACGGAGGAGAAGTTCTGCCAAAACTTATCCAGGTATGTAAAGTAGTCCCTGTTCCTATGTACTGTGTCAGAACACATGAAGTAAAGTGTTCTTTGCCTAGACTATGGACATTAAAGCTTTTTGCATATCTTTAACAAGTAGTATAAGAGCTTTTCTGTCAGTTCACCCTTACAGAAAAAATGTAAAAGTGAACTAACACCGTACAACCAACCAGAGCTTACTCTTAAGTGTTCCACTGATATCATTCACAAATGAGCACAAACTTTCAAAGCAGATTCTTAGCCTCCACCTCCCCATTTTTTTTTTCTTTAACCCCTGCTTATTGGGGGTTGTTTTCTACACAAATCAGATACTCTGCCACCCAGCAGATCTAGCGTTGTCCCATCCTCTCTTTATCCTCTGCTTGGTCTCGGACTGCCATCTTCAGGTGTGATGTCATTGTTAGGCACTGGCTTTTCCGGGTTCAGCTGTAAAAAAGGCTAAAAAACAAAAAAACAGAAAAAAAAAAGACAGTGCTGATTTAAGGATAGGAGGGAAGAGTGCCAAAATGGTGAGCTTTAAATAAAATGCTGTATGATGGAATGTTTTTTTTTTATGTTCAAGAGGAAAAGATAAAAACAATTTATTATTCATTTCTAATTGTTTTAGTTGAGTAAATAAAAATATTGCTTATATTATAGGCAGCACAGTGGCAAAATGGTTAGCACTTCTGCCTGGCAGTACTAGGGTCGTTGGTTCAAATCCCAACCATGGCACCACCTGCCTGGAGTTTGCATGTTCTCCCTTTGCCTGTGTGGGTTTCCTCCGGGTACTCTGGTTTCCTCCCACACTCCAAAGGCATGCTAGTAGGTGAATTGGATCCTGTCTAAATTGGCCCAAGTATATGCATGTATGAATGTGAGTTAGGGACCTTAGATTGTACGCCCCTTGAGGGTTAGAGACTGATGTGAATGTAATATATATATATATATATATATATATATATATATATATATATATATATATATATATATGTAAAGCGCTGCGTAAATTGATGGCGCTATACAAGTATCTGAAATAAATATTACATGTTTATTATTTACAACTGGTGGATCTTTAGGTTCCTCTTCGCAGTTTTACCAGACTTGCCTTTAAGTAAACCTGTTGCAAAACTGAAATTGAACTAAAAGATCTGCCTTCAAGAGAAAAGTATAAATACTCACCCTTCCAGTTGTCTGCACCACAAATCGCTTCTCTGTCTTTAGGAATTTTACCCCAAATTCTGCTGGTAAACTGACGCTTTTGGGAGTGTTATTCTCCTGTGTCCAATACAATGCTTAGTGGTTCGTTCTGCCAACCTCCACTTCACTACAGGACATAATGATGACATTTATATCATTTTTGTTTTTTTTTTTTGCAAGTTTTTTAAAGCCATAGGTTTATTTTTTATTTTTTTGTTCTGAATGGAGCGTGGAAATGTTAAAACCTCTGTTGGGTCTTTATTTCTCTCTTGGCCCCCTCTAGGAATTTTCACTCTTATGTGTCCTGATGAGCATTGTCATTGTTAACAAAAGAGATGGGAAATGCATAATTTAGGGCTGGTTCACATCTATATAGTGCTTTTTTTTTTTTTTTTTTTTGGTGCCTTGTGTTTTGGGCACTCTATAGATGGTGTGTCTTCATGAATTCATCAAAGACTTTTTTAATACACTGCACCTAAAAAGCACATAACACACACACACACACACTTGATTGGCAGCTGTCAAGAGTGGATTTCCTTTACATGAGAGTTTTCCCTCTCCCTGACACGTTAAACATTTCCAATGTACAGTTGCAAGAAAAAGTATGTGAACCCCTTGGGATTACGTGGAGTTTTGCATGACTTGGGCATAAAATGTGCTCTGAACGTCATCTAAGTCACAACAATAGAAGAACACAGTCTGCTGAACATAATACTACACAAACATTAGATGTTGCCATGGTTTAATTGCACATAACATGTAAACATTCACAGTGCAGGGAGGAAAAAGTATGTGAGGCCCTAGCTTAATGACTTCTCCCAGAGCTAATTGGAGCCAGGAGTGAGCCAACCTTGACTCCAATCAGTGTGATGATATTGGATGTGTTGCTGACAGCTGTCCTGCCCTTAAAAAACATACACCTGTTTTGGGTTTACTGGTTTCAAGAAGCACTGTCTGATGTGAACCATGCCTCGCAGAAAAGAGCTCTCAGAAGACCTACGATCAAGAATTGTTGACTTGCATGAAGCTGGAAAGCGTTACAAAAGTATCTCCAAAAGCCTTGATGTTCATGTGTCCACGGTAAGACAGACTGTCTACAAATGGAGAAAGTTTAGCACTGTTGCTACTCTCCCTAGGCGTGGTCGTCCTGTAAAAATGACTGCAAGAGCACAGCACAGAATGCTGCATGAGCTAAAGAAGAATTCCAGAGTGTCAGCTAAAGACCTACAGAAATCTCTGGCACATGCTAACATTTTTGTTGACACATCTACAATAAGGAACACATTAAACAAGAATGGAGTCATGGGAGGACACCACGGAAGAAGCCATTGCTGTCCAAAGAGAATATTGCAGCACGTTTGAAGTTTGCAAAAGAGCACCTGGATGTTCCACAGCACTACTGGCAAAATATACTGTGGACAGATGAAACCAAGATTGATTTGTTTGGGAAGAACACACAACACTATGTGTGGAGAATAAAAGGCACAGCACACCAACATCAAAACCTCATCCCCACTGTAAAACATGGCGGAGGGAGCATCATGGTTTGGGGCTGCTTTGCTGCCTCAGGGCCTGGACGGATTGTTGTCATTGATGGATTCTAGAGTTTATCAAGACATTTTGCAGGAAAACGTACGACCATCTGTCCACCAACTGAAGCTCCGCAGAGGATGGGTGATGCAACAGGACAATGACCCAAAACATATAAGTAATTCAACAAAACAATGGCTGCAACAGCACAGAATACGCCTTCTGGAGTGGCCCAGTCAGAGTCCTGACCTCAACCCGATTGAAATGCTGTGGCATGACCTTAAGAGAGCGATTCACATCAGACATCCCAAGAATATTGCTACACTGAAACAGTTTTGTGAAGAGGAGTGGTCCAAAATTACTCCAGATCGTTGTGCAGGTCTGATCTGCAACTACAGGAAACATTTGGTTGAGGTTATTGCTGCCAAAGGAGGGTCAACCAGTTATTAAGTCCAAAGTTTCACATACTTTTTCCTCCCTGCACTGTGAATGTTTACATGTTATGTGCAATTAAACCATGGCAACATCTAATGTTTGTGTAGTATTATGTTCAGCAGACTGTGTTCTTCTATTGCTGTGACTTAGATGACGTTCAGAGCACATTTTATGCCCAATTCATGCAAAACTCCACGTAATCCCAAGGGGTTCACATACTTTTTCTTGCAACTGTATGTGTGATGGAGGGTAGGCAGGACAGAACACACAGAGCTGATGGCAAACGCACAAAGCTTTATTGAGACAATAAAAAGACAGTCACTCAATGGGGGGAATGCAGGGAGGGTTACCTTGCCAATAGGGAGACAGCAAAGAGGGGCTAAAACACTTGTAGTCCAGTACCAAGGGCAAGTCTCCGTAGCAGATTGTAATCCAACAGGGGGGGGGGTAGGGGGTCATCACAGGAACAGTCCAGGTAAAACAGGGGAAAGCATACGCTCATGGATCCGACAGGGTGCCTGGTCTCCCAGGGATACGAAAGTAGTACCTATTGGGGTCTGGAATAGGTGAGTGGTCTCTCCTTTTGGGCTGGGGTTCTCAGGCAGCTGGCAGGCAATCTCCCCCCTAGGCTGGGGGTCTCAGGCAGCTGGCAGGCAATCTCCCCCTAGGCTGGGGTCTCAGGCAGCTGGCAGGCAATCTCCCCCTAGGCTGGGGTCTCAGGCAGCTGGCAGGCAATCTCCCCCTAGACTGGGGTCTCAGGCAGCTGGCAGGCAATCTCCCCCTAGACTGGGGTCTCAGCTGGCAGGCAATCTCCCCCTCAGCTGGGGTCTCAGGCAGCTGGCAGGCAATCTCCCCCTCGGCTGGGGTCTCAGGCAGCTGGCAGGCAATCTCCCCCTAGACTGGGGTCTCAGGCAGGGCTTGGGTGTGGTCTCCCCCTTGGCTGGGGTCTTGGCAGAGTCTAGCCACGAGGGTCCTGCCGCAGCTGGGCTCCCTCGATGGCTGCGCAGTTGGGAAGATGACCGGAACGCCCTGCATCAGCCTCTTAAGCTGATGCAGGATGCTCTCCGGTTGTCCTGGCAACCGGGGCTGGCCGGAGCTGGCGTGCCTCGTCGCCTTGCAACGAGGCACGCCCCCTGGACACGAACTGTGCTTCTCGTGAGCACAACCTTTGTCCAGGGACATCCACAAGGAGCTTCCCGTGCCTGTGCTGCGGATGACAGGGCTGGGGTGGCGTCAGTTTTTTACGCTGCAGTCCAGAACATCCCCGCAGGAGGTTCGCACCTCTCCGCGGAGAGGTGTGAACCTCGCTACCTTCTCCTCTCGGCTGCCTTGGAGGAGGAGAAGATAGTGGCAGGGGTGGTGAAAGCCGCACCTCTCGTCCTGCGCGGTGGTGGAAGGGGGTCATTTGACAACAGGGAGAGAAATAGGCTGGAGACGGGATAACAGTGAGGGGGCCAAGGTGACAATGGCTTTTGGGGACATCAAAAGGACCTGGAGGAGGAAATAGTTTAATGTAATTTGGGGACATTTAGCAAGGTGGCAGGGAGGAGGAAACTACGTTAATTGAATTTGGGCCATCTGGCAGGATGACACGCAGGACATACAGTAATTAAATCTGGGGACGTTTGGCACCAGGAATTAATGAGAGGATTAAGCAGAAATTAATAATTGGCAGGGCCCCTATACAGTGACGGTATGTAATAAACAATGCTGTTTTAACCATTTGACGCCCGGCCAATAGCCGTATGGCGTCCTGAAAAATGTACTAGCTTTCCGGGAGGCCGCCATATGGCGTCCTCCCGCACATGCGCAGTTCGCGCACTTGCAGAGCCGCGCAGCAGCGCGGTCTGCCACCGGCCGTGAACCTCGGACACGGCCGATGACAGATCTGAGTACCGGCCCCCATTGCCGGTACCATGTGACCTGCTGTGACCAATCCCAGCAGGTCA